TGAGGATGAGGAGGGTCAGGGCAGTCCCAGGTGTGGTCAGTGAGGATGAGGAGGGTCAGGGCAGCCCCAGGTGTGGTCAGTGAGGATGAGGAGGGGCAGGGTAGTCCCTGTGACCCAGGAGGGCACAGGAGAGGGAGTAGCACACCTGAGTAGGTGAGGCAGCATGTGGGGGTACAGGGGAGATTCTCTCTTCTTTCTCTTTTCAAATTCATCTTTCCAGCTCTATCCCAGTGCCTTCAGTCCCTTCCAAGTGCCCTCGGTGCCATCCTAGTACCTCTCTAGAGCATCCCAGTGACCCCAGAGAAAAGAGGTGCTTGAGAGGAAAACCTCCTTTTCCATTATTGGCTGTGTTTAAATTGCAGGAGATTCCCCTTCATCATGCTTTTAATGGTATCAGTTGAAGGAAAATCTCTCTTTTCCAGAACTTAGCTGCCCATCAGCTGATGGGCAATTGTTATATTCTAGTTTAACGGGAAGGGGAAAACCTTTATTATGCCATTTTATGGGTTTGAGTTGAGGGCAAACTCCCCATTTTCATCACCTTAAGGTTTAAATTGCAAGTGAATCCCTGTTATCCCTTGGTTTTTTAGAGTTTAAATTGAGGAGAAATCCCCCTTTTTCTGACATTTAAAGTGTTTCAATGGGAGGGGGAAAGAGAGAGAGAAAAAGAGAAGGAAATGAGAAGCAGAAAAGGTCAGGAGGGAGATGAAAAAGGGCATTGTTATATGTAGCAGATATAATTTGCACCATTTCTAATATGATATATGTGATACTGAATATTTGTTAAGAGTATACACATTTGTATTAGGATTCCCCCCCACCTTCGCAGGCGAGACCAGGTGTATATTAGAAACTGATTTACAAATAAGAAGGTACAGGCTCCCCAGGAGATGGGCCATGTCTGGGGAGATACGGGAACCCCAGGTACTGATCGTTCGTGTAATGACCCAAGATGGAGATCATGGAAATCCTTAGGCAGATACATGTGAATGCAGCGTTCCCGAATTCCGGTAAATTTCATCAAGGGATTAAACAAACTCCGGACACTGAATTGTTCTCCCTCATCACCAAAAAAAGAAAATCTTATTAACATATGGACTCTGAATAGAAGAAAAGACTGACTGCTGAAATCTTGGCCTCAGGCGGAATTTTCCCTATAAAAAACCACTTGTGCCAAGATAGAAATGTGTGGGCATAGAGGAAAACCTCTGCTGAGGCCGACTTCTTGTTGCACACCCAGGGCCGACCCCGGGCTCAGCACTGTTCTTTCCTTGTGGCTGGCTAGATAGAATTTGATTGCAAAATAAATATTTTATTTTTTCATTTTAATTTAGCCAGACAATTTTCATTTATAACAGGCATGAAAGGTGAGGGGGAAAAGGGTGGGAAAACGGAGTGAAGAAAGGGTGGAAAACACGAGGTGGAAAAGGGCAGGAAATGTGAGTGAAAAAAGGATGAGAAACATAAGTGAAAAGCTAAAACTCTTTCCACTGTCTGGCAGTAAGGATAAAGGCAAAGCTTTATATATATATATATGTATATGTAGAGAATAAAAGAAAAAGTAGATAGTAATAAATAGTAATATTTTAATTATATATATATAAATACTATATATTATTATATATAGCATTATATATTATAATACATCTTTTATGATTATAATATAATTTAAATACATATGCCATATATTATTATATATTATACTATATACATATTAAATATATAGTATATATTGTAATATTCTATAAATAACAAAGATATACTATTATATATAAATCTAAACATTATATATTATATATATGTAGATAGTAAAAAAGATACATGCCTGTATTTTTAATTTATACCTAGATACACTTCATATACATATATAAAGATATATGACATATTTTCAATATATATGTCCACAGAAGTGGGCTATATTATATGCTATTATATATATATATATATATATATATATAAAATATGCTATAATAATAGTTAATAATTAATAGTTGAAATTTACATGCTGATAGAAAGGAATGAAATAAAGTAAAAAGTGGGCATGGGACCCCCCACCTCCCAAAAGTGCTGAAGGGGCTTTGACATGGCTGGGGAGGGGATGATCTAGAGGGCAGGGGATGTCAAGGGTGGGTTGTTGATGCACGTGTGGTACAGGAAAAACAGAGATTTATTTGGGAAAATAAAGACACCTGTCTTGACACTGAACAAAATGTTTGTCATCTTGAAACTCGTCCTGATTTTTTGTTTTTATAGGCATTGGTAAAGAATAAGAATTTATAGCTAAATTCATTTGGAAAGAAACCCTCTCTCTATCCACTCATTTGCATACAGGAATGTAGGAAACCCTGACTAGAGATGGGTAGTAGTTTTGAAAATAGTGCCATAATGTTTTTATCTAGGAATGAACCAAGCAAGTGCCCTGAAACCAGAACTGCTGCAGGAACTCAAGGGAATATAAAGGATTCTCTGGCACCTTTTGCCTCCATTCTCTGCCAGTCCCCAAAATGTGTCATGGTCCCAGAAGAGGTGTTTGTCATCCAGATTGCCAAAATGAAGACCTATAAAATCCTAGCTCTGCCTTATATTTAACGTGTTTTTACTTCATGTTTATGTAATCACAGAAAGTGAGGAAAGAAGAAATGTGAGTGATTCCCACTATTGCTGTATGAAGGCTTTTTTTAAAGGCTGGTGTACTTATGTTCTCTTTTTCCACTCCAAGTTTGACTTTTCCTCTGCTTTTTTGATATCTGCTGCTTTGGGTGTCCCAAGGAGGGCTGGGTTCCTCAGCAGGGGTCTTAGGAGATGGCGCTGATTCTGCTTTTTCTGAAGGTGTATCAAGGTGTACTACCAAAATGACTATTTTGTCCACTGGAAAGCTTTCCCTCAATGACCGTCAATGCATGTATGTTTTTTAATTGTGTAACCATGATGAGGGGGCGGCTCCTGCCGGGAACTGTTGTAGGGGGTTTTCCTCAGCTCATTTTACATGGAGCGAGTCCTGGCATGGGGCGCTGGGGGACACTTGTGGCTTGTCAGCTTTGGAGCGTGCTTGCCAAAGTCACTGAAAGGAGAGAGGAAAAACCCAGCCCCGACCACGCAGGCTTTTTGTCTGTGGGCTTTGTTGGTGTTGCTCTGTAAGCGAGCCACAGCTTTGAATAATACCGTGGGCGCCTTCTGGAAACAGGTGTTATGGATAAAAATTGATCCAACTGAGTTAAAAATAAATTTTATTATAGCAATCGAATTCTATCTGAGCCAGCCACAAGGAAAAGGACAGTGCTGAGCCCAGGATCGGTGCTGGGTGTTTCACAGAGTAGACAGCCTCAGCAGAGGATCCCCCTATGCCCACACACCACCCTCCTGGTGCAAGCGGTTTTTATAGTGAATATTTTCCTCAAGGCCGGGATTTCAGCCATCAGCCTTTTCTTTCCATTTAAAGTCCCACATATTCATAAAGTCTCTTTTCTCAGCGTTGAGTCGAACAATTCGGTGTCTGGAATTGTTGATTTTCCCGGTTTTGTTTACGGGACCCGGGCTTTCGGTTTTTTGGGCCGGAGGGTTTTCGGCATTGCCATTTTGGGTTCTTTGTTGGGTTGTTCTTGGCCGGGCTTTCTTTTTTCCCTTGGCCCCTTGGCCGTTTTCCGGGGGGGCCCCTTTTTTTGGTTTGCAAGGGTGTTTTTTTCGGGGCCGGTTTTCCAATTTTTTGGGGCACTTCCCATTGTTGCTTTTTGCTTCTTTTCATTATTTTCAATTTTTCCTTCCTTCTTTTTCCCCTTACCCCGTTTTTCATTGCTTTTGGCCTTTTTTCGGGGGCCTTCGCCTTTTTTTTTTTTTTGGTTCCTTCCGGCGGGGGGGGTTATTTGTGGTTGGGTTTTGTGAGGGTTTTTTTTTTTTTTTTGGCTTGGGTTTTTTGTTGTTGTTTTGTTTTTTTGTATTGGAGTAAAGTATAATAGTTTTAGAAGAAATTACAGTTTTGGCCAAACTTTTCATTTTAGCTAATTGGGTAAAATAAGTAAAAAAGGATTTTTTCTGTTTGTGTTCAGTATAGTTGAGAATTTGGGTGAGGATGATAGAGGATGTCCTATTATAGTATAATTTTAGGATGTTTTGTTTTCTTATATTGTTGGCTTAATGCTCAAATTAATACATTTTAATTGTATGTATGCATTTATATGTACATACAGGTAAATACACTTATTAGCAATGCTATTTAATAACTAGTGGCATTTATATGTAGTTTTTATTCAATTTTTTTGGTGGTATACAGTGTCTTGTTTTATTTTTTTGTAATTTTTTACTATGTGTAATTTGGTTTTTGTGATTTTTTTAAAAATAAGTTTGGTACAGCAGTGTTAAATGGTGGAGTTATTTAAGGTATGATACTTTATTGTTAATCTTTATTTGTTTCAGTTATGTGTGTGGATTAAATGGGGTTGTTGAAGGGAGAGTGGGTTTTGTTGATTTTTTTTTTTTTTTTGGTGTTTTAGTTTATGGAGCATTTTTTTGGAAGGGAATTACAGTATTCTGAGTTGTTTGGTGTTGCTGGTGGTGTATTGTTGAGGTGGCAATTGGTATTTGTTGGGGTGTTTTTTAAGAAGAGTTATTATAGATGGTTTTAGGTAGTTGAGGTCAGGTGTTTAATTGTTTACTGATTTTTGTTTTATAGTAGTTATTTTAAGTGTTTATTTAAGATTTCTGGGGTTTTGAAATATTTGTTTTGGAGGAAGTTTGTGTTTATTATGTGTGAGTTTTCAGGTTTTTGTTACATTAGTAATAGAAATAGGTTTTGTTTCATATGTTGTGATGAAATTAGTGTGTACTGTGTACTGGTGTTCAGTAAGGTTTTATATTTTTGTAGTTTTGATGTGTTAGGTTAATGATTTTGTATATTTAAAATACATGGGGTTTTTTGTTCTTATTTGGTTAGGGCAATATTTAGCTGTAGGGGTTTTGTTGGCATAGATTTTAGAGGTTTTATTAAGGGGATTGGACATGGGGCCTTTGTTGTTATATTTGGTAATGTGGTTATGGGTAATTGGAGGGGGCTTTTTCTTTATGGAATTTTTTTGAGTTTTGTTTTTTTTTAAATTTATATATTTGTGTGCTTAGGGTAGTGGTGTTTCTGCTGCAGCTCTAAGCATCCATCCTTGTTTGTGTGCTTGCTGAGACTCCTTCACCAATGGGCCAATAGACCCAATTCATCACTCTCATGGGAACTTGGGAAGTAGTACATGGCTCTGAGATGAAGCCTTGACCTTTTCCATTTGAAGGTGTCACCCAGGGAGCCTTCAGGAGAAGCAGAGGGGCTGCTGTAAGTTGGGGAACTAGTGAGGAGGAGCCAGGGTCCACTCAAGATTCAGCAATGCCCCATCGCCTTGTCTCCTCTTAACCCAGGCAGTCACCAGGCTGTCGGTGTTGGCGTCCGAGCACGGCCAAAGCGTGCGGCCCAAGGAGCCAAGCGTTCTTAGGAGAATGGTGAGTAGCAGAATTGTTGGGTTTTCAACTGCTGTGCAGCTAAGATCACATGCTAAGGTTTGCTGTTCTTGATTGTAGCTGACCAAGAAACAAGAGCCTGGTGATGGCAGGAAATTCCCAGCGGGCAAGGCAGACTTCCTTCATACCCGAGGTGGATTCTTATCCCCAGGTATCTGAGAGATGAGCCCAAGGCTGGGACCCAAAGAGGGGATGAAAGTGAGCCACCAGGAGGGCTTTTTGAGTCAGCTTTGAAGGTGGGGATGTGCAAGAGTTGGCCCCTGAGGCCACATAAAGGAAAAGTCTCACAGTGCTGAGGTGCTCAGGGCAGAGCAGTGCCCATGCATGTCGTGTCACTTTTCTGTCGTGCCTTCTGTGTCTTTTGGGTGTCTTGTATTACATGCCTTTTGCCTTAGTCCTTTGAGGGGCTTATCAGAAACCGAGGTGCCTATCTTTGCATCTCTGATCTCTGATTTCCTTGGCCCAGTGCTGATTCCTTTGAACCTTTGGCTCAGGAGCCCCGACAGGCATTGGAATAGCATCTCATCTTGTTCTTAGCCATTCTCGACAGCTGTGCACTGCAAGATCCATTCTAGTGGATTAGGACTTGTTGAAATGCAAAGATAGGTGGAGGATTCAGACCACAGGACTCATGGGTGTCCATCTTTGCAGTGTGTGGAAAAAGTCATTCCGTTAGCATCTTGTTTCTCCAGGGTTCTCTGAGCACCGTCGGCTTGCTATTGGTGTCACCTCAGTCAGGTCATTCCACATTGTTCTCGCAAAGAGTTTTCTCTTGCTGTTTCATCCCCTCGTTTGTCTTGTCCTACGTCACTGGTGGTGTCTGTATATTTGGCCTGGAGCTGCTCTGCCCTCCTTCATAGCCTGGTGTAGGTATAATAGGACAAGTCCTGGGGCCTGGAAATTTGTGATGTGGGGTGTAGTTGGACTCTAGATGGGATTTGTAGATAGACACAACATGTCTGGAGCTGTTAAGTTATCCTGCAGTGTTCTGACTTCTGTCCTAACATTCTTTCAGATGCAACCAGATGAATTCCATGGCAGAGCGCCCCATCCCAGGTGAGTGGGTTCCCCTGAGAAGGTCAGTCACCATTTGTCTTTGCAGGGGAAGCATAAATGGTGACACTGTGTTACAGCCTTCTTTGTCTTTATTTTTAGGAAGTAAAGTTGGATATTAGCAGTCAAGGTAAGTGGACAAGGTGGGCAGTGACTGGTGGCTGGCAGCAGTTGCTATTGCTCAGGTCTCAATTCCTGGTGCAACTCTTAGCCTCCATTCTTGTTTCTGTGCTTTAGGTGGTCCACTTGTATTATGCCGAGAGCCCTTCAGCAACTGGCCAACAGACCCTGTTCATCGCTCTCGTGGGAATTTGGGAAGCAGTACACATGGCTCTGTGATGAAGCCTTGTTCTTTTCCATTTGAAGGTGTCACCTGGGTAGCCTTCAGGAACAGCCGTGGTTCGTAATTCTGAATCAGGTGAGTGGATCTCTATGGCTTCATAATTCAAGAGTCTAGCATCTGTGAGCAATTTGTCTGCTTTCTGTTGTAATATGCTTCTTACGCTATGAGGAGTATAAGCTACCAACTGAGCCCCAAAAGTTACTTTCTTGGCTTCTTCAACTAACAGTGCTACTGCCAAAATTGCTAGTAAGCAAGTGGACCACCCCCTGCTCATGGGGTCTAGAAGTTCTGATTCATAGTCCAATGGTTTTATGCTTCCTGCCCAATCCTGTGTTAATACTCCATGGGCAGTATGACTACTGGCTATGACTATCTATAAATATAGATAGTATGACTATCTATAAATAACTGAAATGGCTTTTTCACATTGGGAAGGATCAATACTGGAGCTGCCATAAGTGTTTCCTTTAACTCTTTGAATCCCTCCTCGTCCTGTTCTGTCCACTTTCACCTGTCAGTAGTTTCTCATACAGGAACTTAACCTTTTCACTATACCACTCAATCCACTGCCTGCAATATCCTAGATACCCCAGCAGCTGTCTAATCTCTCTTTTTGCCCATGGAGAGAGTAGAGTAACAATCTCTGCTACTCTTTCAGGTGCTAATTTCTCCTTCCCTTTTGTTAGCCAATGTCGTAGATATTTAACTTCGGGCTCAGTAAACTGTAGCTTTGACTTTGAAACCTGTAATTCTTTATCCCCTAAGAAATTTAGTAATGCTATGGTACTTGCTCTTACATCTTCCTCTCTTGGATCAGCTACCAATAGGTCATCCACATATTGTAATAATTTAGTACCTTCTCTTGGCACAAATTGACTTAAGTTCAAGAGCCTGTCCAAACAGATTAGGCGAATCTACAAACCCCTGAGGCAAAGATGTCCACCTTAATTGCTGCTTTCTGTTTGTCTCTGGGTCCTCCCATTGGAAAGCAAAATAGTCAGACTCTCTTTAGCTAAGGGACAGGTCCAAAAAGCATATACCAGGTATCTTCCGGAGAGATATTCAACAAGGTGTAAGGTTTGAGACTGTAAGAAATAGCATTTTAGTCCTCCTGTTCACAGCTCTCAGATCCTGTACTAACCTATAACTACCATCAGTCTTCTGTACTGCCGGATAGGAGTGTTATGCCTAGACATGCAAGTTCTTTGATCACAGGTTTCAATCCTCTCCTTCCTTCCATAGGAATGGGATATTGCTTGATCCTAATATAATCTTCTGGTCTCTCAATTTCAATATGGATTGGTTCCATTTCTATCCTTGTGTCTTCCTCTTGGGTATACCAGACCCTAGGATCTATTTTGTCCTCATCCTCTGTGGTTAATCTATATAGGCTTACCTTAAAATGGGATTCCTGCACAATTAGACTTACTTCCAGAGCTTCCATTAATTCTTTCCCAGCAGATTATAATCTGCTTCTTCAACCAGTAGTATATTCCCTAAGCAAAACCTAGTTTCTGATTCTATTTCTACTTTTTTAATGACAGGTACTTTGAAGGATTTCCCCTTTGCCCCAGTGACCACCATAGTATCCTTGCTTTTTGTGCACCCTGGTGGCAACCACTGAACAATACTCTGCTCAGCTCCTGAATCGAGTAAGAATATGAGTTCTTGGTTTTGGGGTCTTATTTTTAGCTTTATCAAAGGCTCTCTGAATGTTCTGGACCCTAAATTAAAAATCCCCTGACACCTCTAATCTTCCTGGAAGATTTTTTCATCTTTCATCCTCTTTTTGCACTCTCTCTTAAAATCCCTTTCTTTTTGCAATAAAAACACTCTGGGATATTTTTATGACTGTTTGAGTACTTCTTTGAGAGGGGTTCTGTCTCCTCTGAGGCTGATGGTTCTGTGTTGATTTTACAGGGTTTTGGGCCAGTTCCTGTTTCTGGGCTTCCCTAACTGCTGCTACCAGCATCTTTGCTTGTGCTTTCTGCTTTTCTTTATCCCATCTTTCTTAAAAATGCAATAAATGACTTTGCTAGCATCTCCTTACCATAACTCTGTGCTGAGTTCCCAAAAGAATCCTTAAAAAAATTTTAACCGGTACCGTACTTGTGCCTGATCGTTGTTCAGTATTACCAGTCTACTAGCCTCAAAGCGAACCGATCTGTGGGGTTTTGGCTGGTAATTATCTAGTCCTCGATCAGAAGGTTTTCCAGTTCCCAAACACCAGAGAACCTCCCTTTTTGATCCTCCCTGTGATTGACCCCCGAGCTCCCTGAGTTTCAGGCTTGATGCATGAAAATGAGTTTTTCCATGTTGTGTCCGCTTCCCCCTTGAACAACCACTTTCCTCACAGGAGAGTAGAACTGCAATCTTGGGGTCTTCTCTCACTCTGTGATAATATCACACCTCACACACGTGTCCTATCACACCTCACTCAACCACACTCAGTTCTTTTTCCCCCCCAATGGGTTCTGTTATGAACAAAACAGCCTGGCTGGGACACTTCAGCTTGAGCTAAGTACTGACATTGAAATGTCAATTAGCCAATTGCTCCTGGGAATCACCTACACCCCCACTCACACTAGGACCAGGATGCAAAATAATCATGGAATCATGGGAGGGGGTTTTGGGGATGAAAAGCACCCCAAAATGAAAAATATGGGCACAGTGGAGGGGTCTGGATGGGTGTGCTGGTTGGAGAAAAGGGAACCCCATCCCTAGTCTATGTTTGACCTGTCACCATAACCTGCAGAGGACCAGACTGGACTGGGCTGTGGGAAGCAGGCACAAGGAAAACAGACACTCTTCCTGGTGTTACCAGGAGGGCAGGAGAGGGATAGCTGCTGCTGGACTTTGGCAGCAGGCTCTGCACATCCCTCCACCCTGTGGCTACCAGTGTGCCAGGAGGAAAGGAGAGAGCACGGTCTGCTGATCGGGACTGCAGATACAGACTGGACACCTCTGCACCTCTGGCTACCAGTGTTCCACGGAGACTCCAGTGACAGACTCTGCAGCCTTCTCACCCTTCGGCTACCGGAAGAAGCTACAACACCCCCCCTGCCGAGCTGACTTTTTAATAAAGAACTGAACATTAATAAAGGCATAGACCCTGTTCATTTCAGGTTCTTTGTACACGTAGAATTTTATGACTGAAAAAAATGTTTGTGGCTCTGGAAACCCTTCCCCTGGGTCTGTCCGATTTGCCTGAGAGCTCTGGGCCTGTTTTTAGCCCTTCTTTGATTGTGACTCTGGCTTTTAGTTCCAGATCCAGTTGGTTCCACAGGGTTTCCCAATCTTGTCAGACCACTGAAATCAGCGGGGTGCCACCTGAACAGAGGAGGAAGTCCCTGGACTACTAAATCGGATCTCGTCATGGTCACCAAGATTGTTATGGGTAATAAATGATCAAGCCTAATTAATAATTAATAAAATAGATTTTTATTTCACGACCGGGGTTTGGTTTCTGATCACCACAATCAAAGGGACAGTGCTGAGCCTGGGATCGGTGCTGGGTGAACACTGATCCAAACTCCATTGCATTGGATCCCCTCTGTTCAGGAATGCTGTCTCTGTCTGGTTAGTTTCCTACAGTTTTTTGTTTTTTTTTTTTTTTGCCTGGGGCAGAGGTTCTCCTTTTTGTTGCTTCACATATTCATGTGGTCTCCTTTTCTCTGTGCTGGGCTGAACAAAGCTGTTTCTGGGAAGCGATGAATGCTGATCATGATATTGGGATTCATGTTCCTAAGATGTTCCTGACGGCTTTTTCTATCTTGATTGTAGATATTTCTCGAGTATTCATCCCTTGGGTGTGTCCTAGTTTAGGGCAAATTTGGGAGAAAAACCTCTGGAAGGAGCTCCCAGAAAACAAACCCCCATGGCCCCTCCCCATCCACCTGGTTTGGGAAGAATTTTCTCAGAGAGAAGTGGAAAAGAACATGTTTATTTAACAAACAAAACCCTTCACAGCACTAAAAAAATGAACAACACCAGATTACAACAAAACTCTTTCACCACTCTGAAGAGATGAATAAATCCAGAAAGTCTTTTCTGGGAGTGGTCACCTGGGTCTGGATGCTGTGGATTGCTCTCCAGCACTAGAGATAGCTGCTGCAGATCACAAAATGCAGGCTCCCAGTGTTCCTTGGTGTTTCCCAGATCCCATTACGGAGCAGGTTGGATGGTATTCAGGAAGAGGAAAGGAAAAGAAACAGTCCAGGGAAAGAATTGGACTGCTTAGCTAAACTAACTAACAAGCAAAAGCAAAGGCAAAAAGCAGAAGCAAGC